CCCCAAAACCCCAAAACCCCAAAACCCCAAAACCCCTCTTATTTTTATTAGTATTGATATTTTTCATAAATTGTAGATAGAGATAAAATTTATACACAAAATTAGTCTTCTAGAGGGATTCTTCTAAATTTAAATTCATCCGTCCCCTTCTCTGCGTCCTGGATATTTACAAGGATTAGAGCCTCTTCCTTTTCAAACCCTCAAATGGTAAGTTGGTTCTTTCTTCCTCCTAATCTAACCTGCTTGAAGCTCCATTCTGACGAAAAGAAAGGGATTATTTTCTTGATAAATTTGAACATTGAGTGCTTATTCTTCTGTAAATCTTTATCCGTTCTGGTTAGGAAACTATGCCGATGAGATGTAATCTCCTCTTCAGCAGGATCCATCCGAGACTTATCTAGATCTGAAGAAATTCCATCGTCTCCCCAGATCGTAAACACATGAGCGGTACCTTTATCAGATGTGCAAGATAGATATATGGAAAGGCTACTAAAAGCAAGTCATTGAATATCAGCATTTTCAGATCCTCTTCTGAGTTCTCTTAGAGGCTCTCCTCCATCCTTGGTGTTAAACACTCTGATAAGAGTACCCTTTGTACTAGCAGTGGCCAATAAGGTCCCTTCTGGGTTCAAAGAAGCTGCTCTAATTTCTGCTTGGTGACATTCAATCTCTGTTTCTGTATTATTCTGATGAAAATGAATCTTGATTGTTCCTCTCTTACTCCCTAGCATGGCGATGATAGGAAGACTTGTCTTCGTGTTGAGACACAAAATGTTATAGTAATTCATACTAGTCTTATGTGTCTTTAGTAGCTCTAAATCTCTCAATCCAAAAACCATGACTTTATCTTCAAATTGGACTGCAATAATATCCCTTCTAATCGCAAAATTTCTGATACGGAATCCAAATGTAAGCTCCCCTGCTACTTCTTTCTCCTTGTCGTCCCAGAGGATGAGCTTGTTGGAGGAATACTTCGGATTAGTGCCTCCTCCTACCATTGCAACTATATTGGTTCTATATAACATAGATGCCTTCATGATGGATCCGTCCAGAGGGATCTTACTAGGTCTGTCATCAGGGTTGATAGTATGAACCTCTACTCCATTATCCGTAGATATTCAATAACAGCTATGGTCTTGATTAAAGCTGACGCTATTGATCTTGTTCGATTCCATTTTTCAATATTTTTGTAAATTCCTGGGGTTTTGGGGTTTTGGGGTTTTGGGGTTTTGGGGTTTTGGGG